TTTTTATTGTAAAATTTATTACTTTTGCTATGATTGTTTTGACTGTGACAAAAATTTTACTTGCAGAAACATCGTATACGTATTCGCAATTTCAAAAGTCGGGGCGCTTTACGGCGCCAGCTACCGTTATTCCACGCTTCAAAAACTACTCAGTGGACGATTTCCATTTCCTTGCGGTGTTGGGCAAAGGCAGTTTTGGCAAGGTAATTCTAATTCGCCCTTAAAATTTTAACTTTTTTTTTTTTTTTAATTTAAACTAAAACTTCCTATATTTTAACGCATCGCTTGATTTCCAGGTGCTGCTGGCTGAGCTACGCGACACCACCTACTACTACGCAGTCAAGTGTCTGAAGAAAGATGTCGTTCTCGAGGATGACGATGTCGATTCAACCTTAATTGAACGCAAAGTGTTGGCATTGGGCACCAAACATCCGTATCTGTGTCACCTGTTTTGCACATTTCAAACAGAGGTAAATAGGAAACAATCAAAACAACTAGGTACATATCTGCCAAATGAAACATTTTATTTCGGGCGTTTAATTTATTAGAGAAAGCAATTCGTTGCGACCAGAAATCGTTTCATTTCGAAAATTTCTAATTTATTCGTTGTCTTTGTTTGTTGTTGGTGGTGTTGGTTGATGTAAGCACTGCAGTTTGCCTACCAATTACAAACGATTTACGAATGTTCCTGTCTCAATTTAAATTACAACAACAAACGCTGCAGTTGATTATTTTCGATTTATTTTGATTCGCATTGGCACCAAGTACTGGCCTATTATTAGATTCTTAATTTTTTTGGCGCATTTTAATGAATATTGAAATATTTACATATGTATGTATGTAGCTGTATACACATACATATCTACCATGGGTATGTTTGTTATTGAAGTACCTAATAAAAAAACTATTTCGAGCAGACTGTCTGTTTGGGCGACAGTCTTCATATTCCATTTGTCATAAATTAAAGTCGCCTAAACTTAGTAATTCTAGTTGCATATATGTAGTTGAACATACATACATACATATATGTATGTATGTATATGCACATATATGCGGTTGTGGATGGTCGTATACTTGTTGTTGTATTGCACAAGTACCCATTAACCCTGGCGTAGTTGTAATTTCGTGTTTTACATGGGCGGCCCGGCCCGTTTAAATGGCCACTAAATATGCGATATACACCTGCCGGCATCCTCCCAGCCACATGCCACAAAGAGCAACCCCAAATAACTCAATTAAATATTTGAGGAAAGGTGAAATGATAAATTTAGCTCACCGTTTGACCATCGATCGGTGAATAAGTTCGAACGCGCGCGTTGTCGCAGCCAGCTCGAGCGATGGCCAATTTTCAAATGTGGATCAGGGCATTTGATTAAAGTGAATGTCGGCATTAATTGCGTACATAGCCGGAGGAGAAACGTCCCACTCGTCGCGCACCTCACACGCCGTACACACATCCGACGCAATGGTGGCGTAATGGTTTTGCGGTTTTACGTCTGTGATTCCTTTGAATAGAACCGCAAACAATTTGAAATCCATACGCGTTTTTTGCGATAAGAAATGCACAAGCACTTTCACTACATACGTGCAAATGTAACTATGTACATAGCTTCTTATTCGTATTTTCCACTGCAACCGACTAAGCGACTTTGGCTGAGTTCAACAAAGCACGCCAGTCGTTTCTTTTCTGTGCCAACAGGCATCAATTGGCCTGGAACTTCCTAGGAAAGCCGGGTGCTTTTCCACTTCGTCTTGCCATCGCAGAGGTGGCCTCTCTCTTCCTCTACGACCACCGGATTCCGAGTTGAATGCTTCCAGGGCTGGAGCGTCTGTGTTCATTCGAACGACATGCCCAAAAGCCAGCTCTAATAGTCAAAGAAATTGAAATGGCTGTCTGAAAACTGGATAGACATCTGTAGCGAAGAGCTCCACACCCTAAGGGGCCTGGTATGTATTTCTTGGTGGCGATCTGTTCGAACTCCTCGGCGGGATGTACCAGCTATAGATACATGTACTTACATATGTATGTATGTATGTACATATATGCTTTTTGTTTTTTCTTCAAAAAAAAAACAATGTCAGAATCATCGGCTTGCCATCTGCTACCTGCGTTACCGCATGACCAGTCTGGCTCACTTGGGCTCACTTGGCAGCGCCACTAAGTCCATATTTTTTGTTTATTAACAGATTGCGACAAGAGTTTCTGTCCTGCTTGGCAGTAATTGAGAATCGCATTGCTTCGTTAACTGATTTAAGGTTATAGATTTCAATTAGAGTTTGCTCCTGAACCTCAGCCCTGCCAGTTAACACCTCTTATATTAATGTAAATGTTTAACTTTTTTTCCAGAGCCATTTGTTCTTCGTTATGGAATACCTCAACGGTGGGGATTTAATGTTCCACATACAGGAGAGTGGACGTTTCCCGGAAGAACGCGCGCGATTCTACGGTGCCGAAATAATATCCGGTCTGAAGTTCCTACACAAGAAAGGCATCATATACAGGTAAAACGTCAGTTCAACTTAGTATGTGCGTATGTTTTCAAACGACTCCTCCGATTCTGCAGAGATCTTAAGCTGGACAATGTGCTGCTGGATTACGAAGGGCACGTCCGAATTGCCGATTTCGGTATGTGCAAATTGCAGATCTACCTCGACAAAACAGCGGACAGCTTTTGCGGAACACCAGACTATATGGCGCCTGAAATCATAAAGGTAAATTTACAAATTATACAAGCAATCTCTTTATTCACCTTCATCTTCCACGCCCAGGGCGAAAAATACAATCAAAATGTGGATTGGTGGTCATTTGGTGTTTTGCTCTATGAAATGTTGATTGGTCAATCGCCGTTCAGCGGCTGCGATGAAGATGAATTATTTTGGTCGATCTGCAATGAGATTCCATGGTTCCCCGTTTACATATCCGCAGAGGCCACCGGCATTTTGAGAGGGGTAAGTCCTCCATATCAAACCTTAATATATTTTCATAGGCTAAGGATCCATTGTTTTGATAGCTACTCGAAAAAGATTACACCAGGCGCATTGGATCTCAGTACAGCCCTGCTGGCGACATCAGCGAGCACATATTCTTCAGACCCATAGACTGGGATTTGTTGGAGAAGCGGCAGTTACCGCCGCCCTTCAAGCCACTTGTGGTGAGTTGTGCAATGATAAAAACGTATTGGATTATTTGATACCAAAGGGTATTTAATTTTTTTCTTAGAAACATCCATTGGATACTCAATATTTCGACCGCGTTTTCACCAAAGAACGCGTGCGACTGACGCCCATCGAAAAGGAAATTCTGCAGTCCATGGACCAGAAACCATTCATGGGATTCACATATACAAACCCACACATCACCTTAGATTAAAATTACTAATTATAAACATACCTAAATGCGTAATAACTGTCTGTATTCTGATAGAGATATGGGTATCAGTAAGTTTAAGGAGACCTAAGGCCTAATAATTGATTTGGAAAATACTTTGCTAGGGACCTTTGGCAATAGATTGAGATAGCAATCTGAAGTTTGTTTCAAACCAGTATTTAAACCAGGATAGTTTAGTTTAGGGAAATCAGAGTTAAGTGCATATTTTTAAACATAAGAAATCAATTCATCCTTTTAAATACCATTATCCTTGTTGTTAAAAAATATATGTTTGTATGTACATATATTTGGGATTTACAAGATGTTTAACACGTTATAAAGCCGTACGATCGTAAAATTTTACAAGAGCTTAACATTTTGTTGTTGTCTTGCATAGAAAAGGAATACAACTATGAGTTCTGTGTAGTAATTTTATGAGACTACATACATATGTGAATCCACGGATAGTATTTTAAGACAATTAACACTTACGAGTTCATTGAAGCCGGCAAGCTTTTGAATAAACTACAAAACAGTACATACATATAAAAGTACTATACATAAAAGTATACATATATTTATTTCCATACAAAAAAAAATGTTATAAAGAAATTTAACATTAAATCATCGCCCCGTGAAGATTTCTAAAGAGACTTACTTATTCATAAAAAAAAGTCGTACAAGCAGTGTGACCCTATTTAGTATTAAGCTAGTCAAACCCGGTAAACACATAGAAAACTATTGCTAAATATTAACTAATGTTACCTGTGTACAGACAAAATTATCGAGATATTTTAAGTTACTCGTAATGTGTTTTAGAAATACTACATATGTAAATAATTATAAAATGGTTTTATTAATAAAATTAAACAGAAAATGAACTGAAAAGTGTTGCAGGTTCGTATAGAAACCAAATGCTTACTAACACCCGCAAGCGATGCCTCTTTGGCCAATTCCAATGAAGCACGTCAGACGTTTCGTTTCTGTAACAACTGAAGTCTGAAGGCCTCAACTAATTTTTCATAACCGGTAATCTAACATATGAGCCATTCTTTTATAATTCGGACGGAGTTCGTAAAAACAAATGATGTGGTATCTCCGATTCGCTTCAAATGTTTTTTATGGGTTCTATACATGAAATAACCTAACACGTACTCGGGGAAAATCTGTAAAAATTTGGATTTTTCGTGATTCTGACCAATCAAGTACTTCTTCAAATCGTTATATCTCGGGTTCTGCTCATCGTAGAGATTTCGTCTTAACGTAGTTTTAAATCTAACGAAACGGGCATAACATGTCCTATATATAAGATGGTCATGATTGTCCTAAAGCTAACTTAGCTATTAGCAGTTGAACCTTTTGAAGTTGATTTGCATAGTGCAGACCAGTAAATTAGGGATTTAAAATTACACCATCGTAATTCTTGTTTGATTCCCTATAAAAATCATGTTTAAAAAAGATGGGAATTTTTCAAGACCTATTTTTTATACCCGAGCGCACTTGTGCACAAGGGTATTATAACTTTGTTCGCGTAACGGTTGTTTGTAACAGCCAAAACAAATCGAGATAGATATAGACAAATTTATTCATAAATGCTCTGAATGAAAAGAGAAATCGATTAAGCCATGTCTGTCCGTCTGTCTGTCCGTGTACACGATAACTCGAGAAAAAATTGGGATATGTCCACGAAGCTTGGTAGGTAAGTTTCCCTTTATCTAAGGTAGGTTGGGATTGAAAAAGGACAACATCGGACAATAGCCACGCCCACCTTCCATATAACGGTATATTCCAAACATGCAAAAGCTACGATATTTCCGTAAATACTGGATCCAAATTGTTGAAAGTTGGTACGCGAAATCGAATTTTGGCATAAAATAAGACAGTTATGAAATTTTTTGAAAATGGGCTTGACACCGCCCACTTAGGATGAACTGCTGTATCTCTATCGGCCCTTCGCCAATTCCCACCAAACTCGGTACGACCATTGCTTAGAGCCTCTCTAAGAAACCCTTTGAACATTTTTTTTTTAATCAGACAAGAACCACGCCCACCTTTTATTTATTTCGCATCCCCGAATGTCTAAAATTCCACATTCACAAAATCCCGAATGCGAATGCGAAGTATTTCAAAATTTCAATTTTGTGGGAAAACGCAATCAAAGTTTTATCAATTCATACAGTTGGTATACAAAAAGACAGATGGAAAGACACATATACCTTTGCCATATTTGGGAAGTTCGGTTATGTGTTAGTCTGCACATCTTCTACTTTATAAGCTTATTAGTTGCATTATGAAATCTCCAAAAACGTAATTTTTGAGTTACATATATATATTATTAAACGTGTGATATGTACATTATTTAGACCGTGCCGGAAAAAAAGTTCGCCGGCCACCTTCTAATCTAACTATGTTTCAAGACAATTTCGAAAAAAATAGCCTTTTTACATTTTTTGTTATAATTGGATACAGTTTTTTTCCCCCAAAGTTCATTGGTCTCAACTACCCAGTTCCCGTACTTATCCACCAGATGCCGGATTCTGCCAGATTTGGTTGATTACAAATTTCACCTGTTACTGTTCCATGTTGTGTTCCTACTTTTAGAATCAGAACTCCACGGGTGGTCTCGGTTCTTATAGCCATAATATAACTATATTAAAGCTCACTAAAATCATTACACCTTTCATAAGGAATTATTTTGTTATTTAAGTAGAACTATTAAAAAAAAATTTTTGTTGTCGGATGTAAGTGTCACTGTATAAATGGGGGCCCTAGGTTCGGCCAAAAAAAATTGTTATTTTTTCGAAATTGCATTGCAAAAAACTTTACACTCACTGGTGTACGGCGAACTTTTTTTGTTTGCTTGTAAGAGGGTACAGTCCATTAGATACATACATACATAACTATGTATTTATGTAAGCCGGCGTTAAAATAAATGTTCGTTCCCTAATGAAGGCGCGTGCATGCCCAAGTACTTACTTATGTACATATCTATGTATGTAGGTAATTTATCGATCGATTATCGATAGCAACCGAACTTCAGTTGCGTTGCTAGTTGCCGAAACGATCCCTACAAGAACAGTGATAGTCATTTGATCGATCATGTGATAATCACTGGTGATGGAGATCTCAATCAAGCACTTCTATCAACTTTTTAAGAGCAATATGCAAAACGTGACGTAAACATTTATGTACATGTGGTCTTCCGTTTTCCTCCAACTTATGGCCTTATTTAGTGGTCTCTTTTTAACCAACGCAAAATTTGCAAATGTGTTAGTAAGATAAATGAGAATGTGTTAGTTTCCATCACACAATTCTTGTAGGGATATTACAGATGGCAACTGACCATTCTCAACTGACAACTGCAGTTGCCACAAAGTGTGTATTCGGGCAACTACATTTTTGTGAATGCTATAAAGGGTGTGTAAAATAGTTTAGCGATATTAACATTTTGCAACAATTTGAAATTTCAGTTCTCGTGATGAACGTGCTTTTGGTGAATCAAAAGTGAACTGATTGCAAATTTTTTCCTCTAGCAACTGAAGCACCTCTTTTTAAACTACCGACATACCAAATTTCGTAAATTGAAGTGGTTGGAGGGGGACTTCCTTCTGAGAAAAATCGAAGAGGTGCGCAAGCTTTTAGGAGCAGAGGTATTGAAGTTTCGGATAAAAGATAAACCTTGAAAGCATTAACTTTTGCTTACAGTGCGGGCGGTAGCTCTTAGACGGTTGGAATTATCCTTTAAATGTCGCCTGATTGATTAAGGCCATGCACTTCTCCCCCTCTTAAACAAACAATTGAACTGAACTGAGTATTATTGCTGACTTTTATTTAAAGCTCTTTATTTTAATAATTTCATTTTACTAGCACAGCTTGCCGGTTTTCGAACTGTCAAATTTCGATTATCGATAACTGTACAACAACTGACGATAGTTGCCATTCGTAATACAAAAATTTTTCCCAGTTGCGTTGCCAGCTGGGCAACCGAACCGTGGTTGCGTTGCTATCCGTAACCGACCCATTAACGTCACGTTTTGATCAGGCTGCTTAAAAAAGTTAGTCAAATTAATAGGAGATGATATTTCCACAAATTTCACAACAGCTTAATATGAGGCCTTAAAAGCCAGAGAAGCTTAACTGACATTAAAAAGTAATTGAGACACAGCTTAAAATGCTTCGAAACGATAATAGCCCGAGGTACGCTTCTTAGTTTTCTTTTTTTTTTTTGCTTAAAAATTACTTGTTGCATTTCAGGTGACGATATGTTAATATTGCTTTCAACACAGACCACCTCTTCACATTGATATGTATTCATTACCAAATCTAAGCAAATGCTTATGTTTGTGCATATGTACATTAAAGTGGTCCAAAAATGTATGTGAAAAAAAAAATAAGGTCGTATTTTTAATGCCGCCACCTTCTAGGATTATTCTATACCGACAAAAAATATACCCCTATTTTTTTATTTTGAAATAAAAAAAAAATTTAGGGAGTGCTCAAAGCGCTCACAGTTTTCAATGTATTTTATATGGGGAAAAAACAACTTTTCGTAAAAATAGTGTAGAATTCTTGCAAATCAATATTTTTCGATGGGAAAACTTTGCTTATCTTCAGGAGATTCCCAGTAATAATACCCAATTGTTCCTTTAACCATTTTTCCATGGTAACTATATTTAATAGGTCCTAGAAAATGCTATGGGGGGGGGGAGGCAATAAAAAATCTTTAATCATAAAAAATGGTTAAATAAACAATTGGATATTAATATTTGAAGTCTCCTGAAGAGAACCACAGTTTTACGATTCCGACTTTATTATTTTGGACCACTCTAATGTACATACAAACGTATGTATATGGAGCGACTAGCAATGAGAGCACGAGCATTTGAATGTAAGCAGCAACTGGACGATGAAGCTGCAAAAGGTACATAGTATGTAAGTATTAACCCAGTATGGAAAGACACTAGTTTATGTAAATATCGATGTCCAACTAGTTTTTTCACCACCACAACTAGTTGAAGATCTGACTTTCTTCCTTGGAACGAACTGTTGACTTTAACATGGCAATGTCCCAGGCATCAGTCAATTATCCGACTCTGCATTTGATTTCAACTACTTTAAAATGCGTTTGGCTTAAAGCAATGCAAAGTCAGTATGTTTCTTTGACAGACGACTTTTCATGCTGAAATAGTTAATTGCCCACAGTTAGGTGATTTTACAACTAATATTGAACTATTTGCAAAGATATGTATCAAAAGTGTAAGCATCTGGTTTTTCTCGATGAGGCTGCTAGGTGATTATACATCCATTACCTTTTCAAGCAACAAAAATAATAATGAACAATATTTCATCAGATTTTACTTGAGAGCTACATAGTAAGCTTAAAATTACCTTTTTCAAATTATCAATAAAAAATTTACTTCTTTGGTAATTTAAATTTATCGAATAATTCGAAACTTATCTCCACATCCGTAGATGTAGTTGGACAAAGTTTAAGTAAATCTCGATTGATCTTCACTCTCAGTTGTGAGCTAGTAAATATTTAAAGTTTTTTTTTCTAATATATGTGCATACCCATGTCTGTGTTCAAAATTTGGAACTGCGCTTTCACAATTTCTAAAATTTCTTTCAACATCAAACCTTTTATTCAACAGTTTTTATTGAGCTTGAGGCCGTGTTTAATGAAAAACTATTGTGGAAAAGCAGCAATAATTAAAAAAAAAATGGTAGAAATGTTAGCTATTTCAGAAATCACCACATTTTCTCATCAGACTTCTTTCAGTGGGATTCGATCCAACGACCCCAGCCTTTTATTTGAAACTTTGCAATGGCCACTATTTAAAAGAGCTTGTAATTGTAAGCTTAGTATACAGTTCTGAAGAAA